GCGTAGGCTGGGTGATAGCCCACGTGCAGCTACAGAAGGCCCGCCCCTGGCGNTTCTCTCTTTCTCTCTTTCTCTCTTTCTTGAATGTTGACTAATTTGCTTAAGATAGTTCGTTTCTGGCTAAGGCTTAATAGTTTTGTGACAAAAACTCTAGACGACAATACAAATGTTTTTCTTAATTGAAGGAAAGTAATTAAGTTAATTGACTAAGTCTGCCACGGCACTGCCAGTTTCATTATTAGTCACTTGAAAACTAGACTGCGAGGTGCAATTATCGGCCGACAGCGGCTGTGTCTTGATTGAAATATTTGAGATCTGAGTGTGTTTGTTTTTATCGCGTATGTGTTTGTGATACTCATAGCACACAGAAACAGGCAAATTGAGACCTTTTAATATAATTTAACTTGTTTTTTTTTTCTTTCAATTTTGTGTGTCAAATATCTGGAATTGAGCGGGTATCGCCATCAATAATTTTAAAATACTCGATTTAACTTTCACACACTTCACTGGTTTCTTTTACAATTTACACTTTTTGCTGTGTAGATTAATTCGTATGAACCCGAAAATATTAAACACTTATATCCTTCAATAGAAGGTTGATACAGTCGTATTAAAAATATCTATCTATATATATAAAAATGAATTGCTGTTCGTTAGTCTCGCTAAAACTCGAGAACGGCTGGACCGATTTGGCTAATTTTGGTCTTGAATTATTTGTGGAAGTCCAGAGAAGGTTTAAAAGGTAGATAAATATGAAAACGCTCGGAATTAAATAAAAATAACAATTTTGTTTTTCCCCGGTCGAACGGATTCCTTTTGTTTGTTTTAAGTTTGTTTTATACAAAAGTTTAGGTCTTTTATTTAGGTCTGCCGGGTCAGCTAGTATAAAGTCATAAATTTTTCACTGATAAATCTGAATACAGCCCTGTTGAGATTCAGGATGACTCGCATTAATTCGTGAGCGGATACTGTAATTGATAATCGTGTTTTGGATAATGTTTTATGATTTAAATTTGACCTGTCGACTAATGATGGATACAGTGCAATACCGCTTCTGCCAGTTGCACTTAATTGCGGAATGATTTAAAAATAATAGTAGCTTTTTAATACGTTTTTATTAGCTTCAGACGTATGTATGTAACGGAATCTTTGAACATGATTTTGAACCCCTTCAAAACGTCGGATTAACTCAAAATTTGGTATACTTATTACGGAACGATGACAATTCAATATTTAAAAAAAAATGAAAAAATTTTAATTCAACTAAAAAATTATAATAAATAATAGTTTAAAAAAACTAACAAAATACCCTTTTATAGAAAATCCAACTAAAAAATTGAAAATAAATTTGAATTAAAAATAGTGTAAGAAAAAATGATTTTATTGTAAAAAAAGCGTGGGGTGCTTTTCAGGATATTATCAAAATGACCCTTCTACTCATATATCTGTTTATAAAATATTTATAACTACTGATACCATGCATCCCAAATTTTATATTCTAATTTTTAATTGGATTTTCTATAAAAGCGTATTTTGTTAGTTTTTTTAAACTATTATTTTTGTAGTAGATACTCAGATAAGTTCGCGGTCTAACTGGTGTTAAATGGCTATCAGAGCCTAAGATACTACATTATCACTTTGAAAATTGAGGTAGGTCTAAGACCCAAATCGCCCACCTGGTGTTAAGTGGTTACCGGAGCCCATAGACATCTACAACGTAAATGCCGCCACCCACGTCTATCTTATTTTATATACCTTTTTATCTCCTTTCCACTATCCATCAATTATTATTTGTTTCTGAAAGTTTCAATCGCCCACTCAGATAAGCACAGCGCCTACGGGGGCGATCCACTTTGAGAACTCACGGCTTCGAGAATTCGTGCCCAGACATCAACCTGAGTACTTCTTCGTTTATATTATTTGACGTACAACACTCGTGATTGTACAAACAGTTGATGCTAGTTCAGTATTTGTTTGTAATAACGACCTAGATACCGGGAAAGGTATAATCCTTATCATTCTTAGGTCTTGAGTTACTAAGTGTACTCCGTACGTGAATGTTTGGAGGCCATTTGTTTTGTAATGTATTCAGTGAACCAAGCTGAATACAGTTAATTATTGTATAATTATTAGTAATTTCATTGATAGTTATTAGATTATTACCTTAAATACAAAGAGTGCAATTGGCGGTCTTTTCGGTAAGAACGATCTCTTCCAGATAATTAAGTGGCCAAGAATCATTTGAAAACGAATTACACGTACCTATCGATTGCAATATACTTATATATACACACATACAAATATGAACAATGTGATAATAATTCCAATAAGGTTGAAGTTTCGAAGTACTTTATATTACTAAATAAACAATAACCGTCTCAGCCTTTTGAATTGGAATGCATGACTGAGTTCACATTAGAACTATGTAGTATGGTGGACCACTAATAATTATGCAAGTTTGAACTTTGAGACATTTTGACATGATTGGTTATTCGCTGAAATAAGCGAGCTGGTGATGTGGCGATTAGCTTTTGGGCATTCATAATACACTTCAATACTAGAGACAGGAATTAAAGGGGGCCTTAGAGGAAGTTTGGGAATCTTTTGATTATAATATGATAGTAATATGAGGTAAGCAGTTTTTTTTTTATTGCCCTTGTAGGCAGACGAGCACACGGCCCACCTGATGGTAAGTGGTTACCGTCGCCCATTGACTTGCCAGGAGCAGAGCCAAGCCGCTGCCTACCGCTTTATACTCTCCACAAGCCTCGTTTGAAGAAGGACATGTCATAGCGCTCGGGAAACACCGAGGCGGGGGGGAGCTCATTCCATAGCCGGATGGTACGTGGCAAAAAAGACCTCTGGAAACGCACTGTGGATGACCGCAGTGGCTCCAGGTAGTGTGGATGAACTCTACTCCGGTGGCGGGCGATGCGATGGTAAAAACGAGATGACGGTATCATCTCGAACATTACCTCAGAGCACTCCCCATGGGACATACGGTACAAAATAGAGAGGGAACCGAGGTCCCTCCGCAGACCCAGAGGAGTTATCATACAAATCAAAATATTTAAGAGACGTCTGAATTTCGCTACTGACATTTTCAAGTTTGCATCTAAACAAACTCCGAACAACACCATTAGGGCCGTCGGTCTACCGAGTAATACAACCCGTTCGGTGGAAGATCTTCACTTTGCCGCTTATTTCCAAACTGGCAACCCCGACGTGATTTAAACGTGCAACCTTCGTTTATTCTCAAGGTAAAAAATCTATGGACAGAGTAATTCTCGATTCCAGGATGAAACACTCAATCTTACACTTAAATATGTTGCTAACTTGTTTTTACTGGTGGTAGGACCTCTTGTGAGTCCGCACGGGTAGGTACCATCGCCCTGCGTATTTCTGCCGTGAAGCAGTAATGCGTTTGGGTTTGAAGGGTGGGGCAGCCACAACTATACTGAGACCTTAGAACTTATATCTCAAGGTGGGTGGCGAATTTACGTTGCATATGTCTATGGGCTCCAGTAACCACTTAACACCAGGTGGGCTGTGAGCTCGTTCACCCGTCTAAGCAATAAATAAAAAAACGCTAAGAAACTTATTCCTAATCAGTAAAAAGTATTTTATTTACCGTAGTGTCGATAGAAACATATGGTTTGTTCCCAGAATGCTTTTAAAATGTAATGCACCAAACAGATTAAATCGAAAGCATCATGGCGTATAAAAACTGGTAGGTATTTCTATCGATCGTCTCCATAATTAGATGCTACGTTCACCGCTTAAAGGACGTTTGTTTGATGTTTTTTTGCCGGACTTCAAATAACCTTTGATGTCGGCTTAGCCTAGATTATACGAGGTACATTCATGTTTTACTTGTTGGCTGATATTGCAATTGTAGCATTACTTACTTCAATATTGTTCTACTGATCTGCATTTCCATAAAAAGATTAAATGCCCATACTGAGTAGGAATAAGTCACTTTTTTTTTCCTACGTAAGCTGATAGCTTTGAGAGGCTATATCAGTAAGCTCACTGGGCTCAAACCTGATGACGTTGCTAACACGAACCCTAGCAAGATCCGTGCTTCGCAGAATCTACCACCGGATCGGAAACGCGACCCACTGAGAAGATCTGGCGAGAAACTCAGTGGGCTGTGTCTGAGTTTTAGTAAGTCACAATGTGTGACGTAGACACATATAAAGCCTCAATTGTTAATTGAAATACCACAAATGATATTGAATGTTTTAGATAGAAGGTCTCTTGGTCGTTTTGAGAGATCTATTTCAGACAATTTGGTACAGTTGAGACACATGTTTCTGTGTGAAGGATTGCAATCTGTGCATTTAAAGGTAAATATACTGCAAGACATTTTTGGGTAGTGTTAAAGTAATTGCCTTATTTGTCTCGCATTGTCATGCCAGGTGCCATTGACGATATCAGCTGTCTCCCAATTGCAATTCTGAATGAATTATACTGTGAATTTTTGCATTTCAATTTTTAATGAAACTTTGACTCGGTTATATTAAGAGTAAATATTTGATTACAACCATTTTTGCAATTTATAGTCGTAGGACCAAAGTATCCAAAAACTTTGTTTTCTTAATTTTGTCTTCTTTTTGACTCCATATTATTCCACTAGGTGGGGTCAGCACAGCAATTTTTTTATTCCATTCATTTCTAATAGCCGTCATCTTAACACTCACTCCTCTCTCTCTCTCATATCGTCATTCACACACTCCATCCATGTCTCTCTCGGTCGACCTCTTCCCCCTCTACCTTGCACTACAATTTCCAAACATCTCCTAGTCACATGCATCTTCTCTCTACGCATCACATGTCCATACCACACTAACCGTCCGCTCTTTAATTTGTCAATCACAGGGACTATTTCTACACTTCCTCTGACATGTATTTTGTAATTTTTCATATTATTATAACAATATAATGTTAGTTACAAATTTCTAGCAGTTGTGATGTTGAAGCATTAAAAACGAATGTTGTATTGCATTAACTCGTTTATTTATTTGATTCATTGTTTTATATTTACATTTGATAACTTAAAAACTAACAAAAACGTGTTTTTTTTATACATTTTCTTATCTCTACGACTGTCCGGCGACGCGCGTATTAACTAGTCACTACGATTTTTAACATGAAGGAATTTGAAGGTGACAGACTTTGAGATCATAAACATTACGAAGAAGAAAACGAAAAAAAAGGTATACAGAATTTTATAATTAATAAGCGTCAGTAATCAGCGTCAGTATCTTTGATGATGATCAGCGAACGGAAATATATTTTCAAGTGATTGCTTAATGAATTGTTCGATAACATTAACGGATTATTTCGTCTTCTCGCATTGAAACTGTATAATCTCAAAACTTACTAATTTTACAGGAGAGTGTTTTAAAGGTTTAACATGTGGTATTTTTAATATTAATCATCTTTGCAACATGATTTTGTTTTGTTTTTTACCAGTTACATTATCTATCTTTTAAAGTAAGATAAAACTATGTATCAATTATGTTAATAGTCGTCAAAACATAGGTAAACAAAAAAAAAAACTATAATTAAACTATGCTCTTTTGACAGTATTTATGAAAAAAATACTGGTGATACCAAATGATTCCGCATATTAACTCGATTTCGAATATTTTTGTAAAATTGTACACTTTTAATGTGAAAAGACGATTTGTTCTTCGACAAGCAAGAGCCTACTTACATTAATTTACATATTAAAAGTCGTTGGTAATTTAAAAATCATCATCTAGATTTGATTTTAGGTCGAATCAGTATTTGTAGCCGGTTTGAGCGTTGAAGTTACCAGAACCCGAGCCCCGGGATCCGGCGTTCGGTGCCAGATACTGACGGGAGGCGGCACCACCGAATCCGGCTCCGCGGCTACCGAAACCACCAGCACTGGCTCCGAAGCCACCGGCACCAGCACCGCTACCGGATCCGGCTCCAAAAGCACCACTTCCAGCACCGCCGAAGCCAGAGCTATGGCCACCTGAGGAGTATCCAGCTGATCCAGAGCTGGAGTAGGCAGCAGCACCAGAGCCGGCACCTTCACCATGGTATGTACCTGAAGTAAAAAGAAGAAAATTTGAGAAAATAAGAATAAGAGATGTTGATTTTTTTAAGTAAAAGTTTCAAGATGCTTATGATGACACCGTGCTAGGATTTTTCCTAGGAATAGACAGAAGATATTAAGATGCACAGAAGGTAAATCAGGACTTTGTTTATTATGAATATCTTTAAAAGAGATTTAACCATCTGTTAAATATCTTGTGTTGTATGATGGCTACCCGTCACCAATACACTAACAAGACCTGAATAGGCTTACAAAGATCAAAGAATTTCAATAGTTTTATGGACAGTAATATTCTTAAGAATATTTGTAACGGTCAGACCCACGAAGTAATCAAACTGGTTGGATAAACTTTCATATCACCACATCGAGTGAAATGGGTATCAGAAATTCAAGGAAAACTGATAGTCCAACAGAAAATGAAAACACAAAGCCATGCACATTACTTTAATAAAAAATCTAATTCTTTGACTTTCTAATACTCAGATTCTTGATATTTGCTTGGTGAATAGTAAAAGATGTCTACATTTTAATCGTCTTGTTCTAATTTGATTTACTGGTGGGTAAGTACGGGTAGGTACCACCGCCCTGCCTATTTCTACCGTGAAGCAGTAATGCGTTTCGGTTTAAAGGGTGGGGCAGCCGTTGTAACTATACTTGAGACCTTAGAACTTATATCTCAAGGTGGGTGGCGCATTTACGTTGTAGATGTCTATGGGCTCCAGTAACCGCTTAACATCAGGTGGGCTGTGAGCTCGTCCACCCATCTAAGCAATAAAAAAAAACATGTACGAATCGCCAGCAAAATGTTAATGTAAATTATTTAAAGTATTTTGTCCCGAACGCAAAACGACCTTGTAGACACAGTGTGTTCAAAAAATATTGTCATTTCTTTATTTCTAACCACTAATTTTGATTTTTAGACATAAAAATACCCAATACCCGACCTTGTTGTTTGATGGGAAGCCTCATTAGGGCGGGCCAGTAAATGCGAGATTTCGTAGCTAAGAGCGATTTTATGTTGTTGCCGCAATTTTTTGGTCCGGTACGATAATATGGGACAGAATAAATAAGTGGCTTCGGGATCGATAGTCAGAATCTATATATGTAAAAGAAAGTCGAGTTAGTTACACTATTTATAACTCCGGAACGGCTGAACTGATTTGGCTGAAAATTGGTGAGGAGGTAGCTTAAAACCAGGAGAAGGACATAGGATACTTTTTATAACGTTTCCGTACGACGCGACATAAAACGTGGTATAACAAAACGCAACTGATATGGAATAACAAAACGCAACTGACAGCTAAACGTAATATATTCTATGGTTAATTATAGTGGAATTTTTAAGTTGACCGGTTGATGTGTTTGAAACAAACCGTGTGGAGGAACAAAGTTCGCTGGGTCCACTAGGATTTAAATGAAATCATGTTTATTAAGCTGTGTTTTAGCAGTTCATGCCATAACACGTAAAATGTTTGTGAAGCTGATTATTAAAGTAATTATTGCTCAAGTCTATCTATATTTGCCGCTATTAAGTAATATGTTCTAGTGACTTCGATCTCTTTTTTTTATTGTCTTTGTAGGCAGATGAGCATACGGCCCACCTGATGGCAAGTGATTATCGTCACTCATGGACGTCAGCAATGACAGGGCACAGTCAAGTCGCTGCCTGTCCCTAAATGGTGCCTGTCACTGGTGGTAGGACCTCTTGTGAGTCCGCGCGGGTGGGTACCACCACCCTGCCTATTTCTGCCGTGAAGCAGTAATGCGTTTCGGTTTGAAGGGTGGGGCAGCCGTCGTAACTATACATGAGACCTTAGAACTTGTATCTCAAGGTGGGTGGCGCATTTACGTTGTGGATGTCTATGGGCTCCAGTAACCACTTAACACCAGGTGGGCTGTGAGATCGTCCACCCATCTAAGCAATAAAAAAAAAAAAAAAAAAAAATACTGCACCATGCTACCATCTCGTCTCAATTGTCGTGTCTATGACGTTACAAACTATGTGGATCCCGATATTTAAAAACAGGTAAGCTGAGAGAACGTTTTTCCAGATACAACAAACAAAAAACGGACATCTTGTAATTTGATTGATAATTTTAAGAATAATAAATACGTAAAAAATATGTATTTACGGTTTTATGAAACTGCATCAGTGGTGTGTTTCTCATGAGTTACGGGTCTGATGTTAGTTACATATGCTTTTATTAGTTTAAAAAGTTTACATTTAAAATGTATCTTACAATCCGCTGTTTTCGAGGACACAGTCTTTATTACTGTCTGACGATAGTACTGTTATTTATTAAAACAGATTGACCACAGTATTCGTGCAAATGACATTAATTTCTTTGAAAGCAAAAAGGTGTTTTAAATAATAAAATTGTAAGCGGTTAAATAATTAGAAAACACTACTTTCTAAAAATAAGCGAGATCCCGGGAGTATAATCGTGGACGTATATTTTGTATCATGTATATATACACATGTATAGACAAGACGAGAATACACAATTACTAGTATGCATATATCGAAGTTGCCTTACTGCGTTACGTTTGAACTAGGTACGTAGCTTCCAAACGAAAATTGTTATGTAAATTAGTTACGATGTTTTCTGCACGTGATAAATTTTGATTAAACAAACATTTTTAATTTAATAAACACGTTAAAATGTCGCATTTATTTTGTTTGTTTATCATTTTAGGGGACACGATTACTGTCGCAATTTAATATATTTAGGAAAACTAAAGATAATACTGGGATTTAGAGAAATGTTCAAAAAAATATTATATATTAAACAATTCACCGCTCTGTAACTATACTTGAGACTTTATAACTTATATCTCAAGGTGGGTGGCGCATTTACGTCGTAGATGTATATGGGCTCCAGTAACCACTTAATACCAGATGGGCTGTGAGCTCGTCCACCCATGTAAGCAATAAAAAAAAATCCCTTGCTGAGCGGCGAAGCGCATTGACATCAACATCTTGAGTTATGAAGTGGAATTTTAATTGCTCATTCTTATTTAATTATTGTCTTTAACTGCACCTTTTTACTTTAATTTGCAATTATTTTTTATTTATTATTATTGTACATTTATAATTGTATAATGGAGATGTATGGAAATGGTAGTGCAAGGTAGAGAGGGAAGAGATCGACCGAAGAAGACATGAATGGAGTGTGTGAATGACGATATGAGAGAGAGAGGAGTGAGTGTTGAGATGACGGCTGATAAAAGAGAATAGTAGAAAAAAATTAGCTGTGCCGACCCCACCTAGTGGGATAAAGTGGAGAAAAAGAAAGATTTATAATTGTATAATGCCAATTTTCATACTGGAAAGAATGATTCTTTTGTTCCAAAAATAAGTCGCGGCCTCACAATGCATATTACTAGGATCACTAATTACCGTTATGCAAAACTAATCTAAATTTCATTTCGCGAACACTTGAATTGTTCTAATTTCGTATTTCCCATAGTACATTACTGAGCTGTGGGAAGTAGAATAGCGCCACGCGATATTAACTTTTATAATTCCCCACAATTAGGACGCTTTTGGATTGCGTTCGTGAAACAAAGTAGTTGAAAACAATTATTATTCTGGTTATTTCCCATTACGAAGAAATAGAGTATAATCACGCTTGTTTTTAGTATGGTAGACAGATGAACGTTATTAGAATTAATTATCAATTAATTTCTTAAATAATTATTTTTATGATATTCGAATTTGGTAGCTATGACGTAAATTGATCCTTACGAGTGTCGCGATTTCCTACAAACAAGGTCTCGGAATAATTATGAGTGGGCCGCGAAACAAAAGCCACTTATCATTCACAGAGTTTACATGATACCTTGATGCACACTTTGCAAGTATTTCGCAAACCTTTAAATTTGACAAATTATCATCTAAAATTTAAATATTTTTTTTTATAAATTTATTTGCGGATCGGCTAGTGGTAACAACACGCGTATCGTAAGAACCGAAGGCCGTAAGTTCGAAACAGTTAACGTTTCGACCTCATATTTCAAGGTAGCGGTATTTATATGGGTATTATGGTTTACAGGTTTGAATACTTCACATCAGTTTCACTGAACTTGAAGCAATAGGTTTCCGTTTGAAGGACCTCGCAGTGGTTCTAATGTAAACATGAGAATTGAAACTGATGTCTCGAGATGGGTAGCGGAATTCACGCTGTTGATGTCCATGGGCCCCCGCAACCACTTAACACCGGATAGACCGTGAGCTCGTCAACATTAATAAACATTAAAAAAACATACTTATCTCAAACACGTTATAACTGTTAAATGTCGAATATCGAAGTTGAGACTTTTAGTTTTAAAAGCGCTATACCACCGTGCCTTTTTTTATTTAATTTTTATTGCCGTAGGCAGACGAGCATACGGCCCACCTGATGGTGAGTGGTAACCGTCGCCCATGGACTTCAGCAATGCCAGGGGCAGAGCCAAGCCGCTGCCTAGAACGCGTTGTTATCAAATGCTGCTATTTACTGGTGGTAGGACCTCTTCTGAGTCCGTACGGGTAGGTACCACCGCCCTGCCTATTTCTGCCGTGAAGTACTAATGCGTTTCGGTTTGAAGGATGGGGCAGCCGTTGTAACTATACTGAGACCTTAGAACTTATATCTCAAGGTGTGTGGCGCATTTACGTTGTAGATGTCTATGGGTTCCAGTAACCACTTAACACCAGGTGGGCTGTGAGCTCGTCCACATATCTAGGCAATAAAAAAAAAATGCGCTGTGTGACGCAAAAATGAGTATACAATTGAAATCTCATATCTAGTGTGCTATTTCAAAGATTACTAAGTCAGTAATGCACCGCCGTAATGCGTTTTATTACAGTGTATATAGTGCTTATAGTAATAATTACGTGTAAGCTGAGTGTAGGAAGTTAGCAATGACGCAGCGTAATCGCAACAATTTCATAATTGCATTAGTACTTTAATAGCTTAGAATATTAGTAAGATGCGTTTTAATGGTGATTGTTATTCAAAACTTGGGCAATCTGATTCCGAGGCAAATCCATTGTGTCTGCTGAGCGTTTTAAATTATAAATTAAATTTCGTGTTTTTGTCTAAAAAAGGACAACGATTGTCTTTTTTACGTCAATTTAAGGCTTAAAGATTAAAAATGATGATGAAAAATTACAATCCTTGAATAAATTTTTTTGCGTTTACAAAAAAAGACATGAATTTCCGATCAAATATTTTTTTTTTATTTTTTTTATTGCTTGGATGGGTGGACGAGCTCACAGCCCACCTGGTGTTAAGTGGTTACTGGAGCCCATAGGCATCTACAACGTAGACGCGCCACCCACCTTTAGATACAAGTTAAAGTCTCAGTATAGTTACAACGGCTGCCCCATCCTTCAAACCGAAACGCATTAGTGCTTCACGGCAGAAAGAGGCGGGGCGGTGGTACCTATCCGCGCGGACTCCCAAGAGGTCCTACCACCAGTGATTACGCAAATTATAATTTTGCGGGTTTGATTTTTCTATTCTATGAGGTTTCTATATTCCTAAGCCGCTCTACACACGAGACTAAGAGTAATTTTATTAGCACCGAACCGTAATTAATGCAACCGTATTTGTAATGTTTCAACGAACATCAAGCTGACGTTGAGCGAACAGTATCGCGCAATATCAAGCAAGAACATTTAAAACGCTTTAACAATAACTGCATGAGACATTTTGAGGAACTTTGATCTTTCATCGGGCCCCACGACGCGCCTTCCAAGAACACAGACCTAGATTGCTAGAGTCAGATCTGAAGTATAGATTCTGAAGTGCAAGTATATAAAGGTCGCGCTTACAATGCTGCGCTGAGGTAAATATCCCTGGTTTTTTTTTCATTATGTAAGATTCGATTACGTGCTCCCACAGTTAAGTTATTTACCAGAACTAAATTCTGTTACCAACTTTGAGATATGACTAAGCTACCTTTAAATCTGAAACACGTGAGGCATTACTGCAGTATGCTCTTGGGAATTGAAAATTGGCGAAGATCTCGCTGCTGAGGACGGATGAAATAGTTGGGGCCCAGGCTGCTTATTGCTTTTGATTGATAGCTGGATTTTTATTACATTGATGGATGGACGAGTTCACAGCCAACCTGGTTTCAAGTGGTTACCGGAGCCCATAGACATCTACAACGTAACTGCCACAACCCACCTTGAGATATAAGTTCTAAGGTCTGAGTATAGTTACAACGGCTGCCCCACCCTTCAAACCGAAACACACTACTGCTTAACGGCAGAAACAGGCAGGCTGGAGGTACCTACCCGCGCGGACTCATTAGAGGCCCTATCACCAGTAATTACGCAAATTGTAATTTTTGCGGGTTTGATTTTTATTACACGATGTTATTCCTTCACCGTGGAAGTCAATCGTGAACATTTGTTAAGTACGTATTTCATTAGAAAAATTGGTACCCGCCTGCGGGATTCTAACACCATTGCATCGCTAGATATGAAAGCACCGGACGTCTTATCCTTTAGGCCACGATGACTTCAGTTTAACAGTTGTTTTCATTTTTTGTTCCTTGGCTGGAATAGCTGGATTTAATAACATTAAATGCGAAATGTATCCATAGTTTTGAAGCAATTAATAGTCTAGCTAAAGATAAATATATGCATTCGTTTACAAATATACTTCAAAAATTGAAGTAACTACAGCACTAGCAACTTGCAAATAATTACAAAACTGAGTCTACTATTAGCTAACGTAACCTGATTATTTATTAAGTGTATCAATTTAGAATCAGTTAACGGAATGACCTATGAACTATGCGTCTTAGAGCATCGGCCCTCACGATGCGTGCTGCAATGCAAGCTCCCACGTTTTGTAAGCCCAGTCAGGTTAAGGTGTATTCGCACTTGCGATTAAAATAAAATATCCTGTTTCAGAAAATCTGGTAGTAGCGATTTGGATGTTCTATTCCAAAAAGCCTTGGTCCTGCCATAATGAAATTTAACGCGTTCGATATTGTACTGTATTATTGTTGATCTAACTAGGAGAGGAGAGTTCTTTGATTCGCAAATCAGTTCAGTAATAGTTAGAGAATCCGAATAGAAAATATATAGCGATTCTACAGCGCAAAATGGCCGTCTGGTGGTGGACCCGCAAGAAATAATAAAATACTGCTGATAAGCTACTGATTGAACGTAAAACCTTACTTAAGCAAGGCTAGCTATACCGCGAACCAAATATTTTTTGTCAAAATAGAAAAAAAAGAAAATACAATGTCTGCGAGATTATTTGGAAATTTAGCTTGCCATACTCATGGCCGTTACTTCGGTACAGACATCGACCTCATGTCTCAAGGTAGACGGGGTCATAAATATATTACCGTAAATAGGCTTGGAACATATTCTGATTTCATTTAATTATTTACTTAGCAACAATGTTACGAGCTAGCTGGCCATGTAGATGTACCCTTATAATGAAATCGCAAAACGGAGCAATGAGTGAATATAGCGGCGGAATAGGAGCTCAGAGTTGTTATGTATTAGTTTTATCATTAGGTGAGACAATCGTGATACGATCACATATAATTATATCCGGTTAAATTTTACGATTAAAAAAAAGAGACACTAGAAAGACAGTAGAAAAAGAATCTATTCATGAGACTATGCTGTGGTTTTTTAGGGGGGCAAAAGAGAGATGGGGCATGATCGATTAAATATGAAAGACATTTATCAGACAATGATCTATTTTTTTATTTTATTTTTTAATTGCAATTATGGGTGGACGAGCTCACAGCCCACCTGTTGTTAAGTGGTTACTGGAGCCCATAGACACCTACAACGTAAATGCCGCCACCCACCTTGAGATATAAGTTCTAAGGTCTCAGTATAGTCACAACGGCTGCTCCACCCTTCAAACCGAACCGCATTACTGCTACACGGCAGAAGTAGGCGGGGTAACTACCCGTGCAGACTCCCAATGGATCCTACCACCAGTAAAAATTATCATAGATTTAGATTTGAAGGATAAGGTAGCTCTTGTGACCATTAAGGTTTGGCATCTGCGTTCACTTTGTGCTATTAATATGGATTCCGGTCACCACATAACATCAGGTGGAAGTTGAGATCACCCTGTTTAGTCAGATTCTGATTTATTCTCAAGAATACCTGAGTTGAAATGGAACATTCGGCCGATACACCTCACGTGGCAAAAGACACCTTAAGAAATACTTGGTCCATATACTTTGATTTGATTACGTAAAATCTAATTTCTTTCATAACTGTACTATCATTAGGCATTGCATCCGTGCTAATTTCGACCCGAATTGCATTTAAACAAGGTCAAAAGTCGGTTAATTGTGTATTTGAGATGACTAGACTGGCAATTTGTGGTCTGAGCGATTTGAGCACTTTTACCTGATATTTGTCTCATTAGTGTGTATTTTTGTATAGTGTGTTAGATCTACAGGCAACATGGGATTAAATGAGGAATTATAATTAAATACTATATGTTATTAAATGCTAAATATAATTAAATACTAATTAAATGGTAATGACACAATTTTCGTAATTTAAAAGATATTTCTGTGATATCAGTTTTTCAAATGTAGCATTTGAAATGAGTCTTAGTGATTAAGACTGAGGTATCTCTGTATAAAACTCAAAATCATAGTGATTTTACTGTCTTAGAATCCAAAATATTGTGTTTACTTGCTATCAAGGGGATTTAAATTCAATTGTAATTAGTAAATGTAGTCAGGAAGCTGGCAGATCAATATTCTTCAATCAGTCCCACTTCGCACTAGGTTAGATAGCAAAAGACATCTTCTCTTTAGGGTTCAATTGATATCTTAACTCTTGGGAGGATCGTGAGTGGCAGCGCCCATTTTGGAATAAAAAAACAGGCAACCGGTAACTCTAAATTGAGCTACAAAAAGCAAGTCGCTAACTACGTCTTCGTGTCCAGAAACCCATCAATGCTGTCACTTTTTGCCGACACTTTTTCGGTCATTACAAATTTTGACCGTCAGAACATCGGACATAATGTTATGTAACAAATATATGTTTTTTTGTATTGGCTAGATAGACTGAAGCGAGGTGTGATTAATTTGACGTGTGATAACAAACAAAAAGTTTTGTTATTAATTATGTAGTGTCGGAAAACATTAATGGAGGGAGCTTCTTTGATTCGTTTTTGGCTTGTAATAATTTGCAAATAAGCATTTGAACATCTTGGTGTTGGCTGTAGTAGAATAGAATAAGTCCGGCAAAAGCCTCAATCCACGTAATAACAGTATCAGCTAACTGGGATAGAGCAAAGGGGTAGAGCAAACTGGGATAGAGCAAAGGGGTAGAGCTAACTGGGATATGCAAGTTCCGAAAAACAATATTTGGGTCATCGTTGTATCACCAGACCCCACGAGAAGGTCTCTTTCTCGTATCCTATAACATAATGGGTGCTTTAGCCTGTATTGCCAAATTACATGATATGGGTCAAGTAACATGGCACTATTTAAACAATTGGGTAATAATTATGTTTTTATATAAAAAAATCAGTAAATCTGAATAAATTAGGAGTCAACTAGTGCTGAGTCGGTGTTAACCGGACATATTTAATCGCAATGTATTTAATGATAAATCAAAAAGATTTTATTGTGTAGCATGTAATGACTTTTAAAGCGTTTTGAGAATAACTTTAATTCAGTAGTAACAAAATTTTGTTTTAAAATATCTCTAGTAAAAGTGGATACCTTAAATTATGCACAGTATGCTCTTTGGTGATTTTTTATCTGTCATTTACGATGAGTTATGATTTCAGGATTTTTTCACTAAAAGCACTGTAATATGATGTGAGATTATGTAAAAAAAGGATTTAAATGACTCACCATCATCACTGATACCAGCGGCCTCATCACGGGCGTTCTGTTCCAAAGATTTCAAAATTTCCTCGGGGATTGGAGGAGGGGTGGGAAGATGCGCGCCCTGAGGTTGGTATCCGTTCTCGTCGGCGGTGTAAGTGATACTATAGTCCTGACCATCATCACCCTTGTAGGCGAAGCTGCCTTGGGACTGGACACCGTTAGTGGCTACTCCGTGCGCATCAGCACGAATTCCGTTGGAGGTTTCGAAGTCGTAGGAGAAGCCTTCAGCGGTAACTTCATTGTTCAGTCTGAGGATCTGAGCACCAGCGTCAGCTGAGGCTTGAGAGCGGCTGCTGTAGGCCTGGGAAGCGGCGTTGTAGCCTCCGCTCGGTTGTGGAGCGAATCCTCCCTGTCCCAGACCTCCGTTGCCTCCAAAGCCACCGCCTCCCGGAGCCAGGCCGAAACCAGGGCCAAAACCGGCTCCAGCATTGCCTCTGGGCGGCAGGTATTTGTTGTCAAGGCGGTCTGCTAAGCAGACACCAAGCACAGCGGCTACCACGAACTGCGAAAAGAAAAATAAACCATTAACAAAATATACAGATGCGAGTATAAAGTTTAGTTGGTACTCTTAAAAATGTTACTGACAATATCGAAAACTGTTGAAGCCAAAGTTGAGTACTAGTGAGAAGAATTCTCAACAGTGGATAATAGCGAAAAATATTTTACAGTTTGTTCTCGGGTTTTATTTTATTTATTTTAATTGCATAGATGAGTGGACGAGCTCACAGCCCACCTGGTGTTAAGTGGTTACCGGAGCCCATAGACATCTACAACGTAAATGCCGCCACCCACCTTGAGATATGAGTTCTAAGGTCTCAGTATAGTTACAACGAATGCCTCACCCTTCAAACGGAAGCGTATTACTGCTTCACGGCAGAAATAGGCAGGGCTGTGGTACCTACCCGCGCGGACTCACAAGAGGTCCTAGCACCAGTAAAATTACTAATATATAAAGCATTCAAAGCGTCAGTAAGTTTAATAGAATTTCAAATCGCTCACAATAAAGCGTCGAGTCATTTGAAGAATGCAGCCTAGCCTATTCAGTGCATATGCCAGTCTTTATGGATGACCTAGATTTTTTGCTCGGCACCATCATTGATTTTAATGGCTGATGAGCTTAGCTCTGATTCTAGTAATTAAGTTTAATTAATCATTTGAAGGTTTGTTCGCACTGTGTCAATATCGTTGTGGTTTCGTCTCTAGTGATTTTAGATTGTAACATTATTTGGAAAAATATTTTTTTTATATGATTAAATAGTATTATAATCTTAGAAGAAGTAATAATAAAAGTCAGTAGTAATGCATGTTTTCACAAAAAAAAAAAAAAACTGTCGTTAATGCAAATGCGTGAAGAAAGAATAGATTAACAAAATATTCGCATTAATGACATTATTCATGTTAATTATTGTCATTCATGAAAACAATTGAAGTTCTTAAGCTGAGTGACATTTTCATGAGGTACTGTTTTAAAATATTATATTAGGATCATTTTTGTTGTCGAATTTGTTAGAAAGTAATTCCCGCCATTTGGAAGTCTGTAATTTCAAACCTGTTTTTGATGAATGAAATTATTGTTATACATTAAGGGAAATTATTAATTTTATAATTAATAAAAATCACGTTTTTTTTAAATCAAGGAACCTCAACATTATTAAAGCGACTTATTATAACTAAAATACAAGTTAATATTAGAAAAATTTTCGCACTTAAGCTTTAACTAAAGATATAAAATTATTATTTCGTTTAAAAGCTTGAAATTCTATCTCTACATAGAGTTGAACTCTACGGAGAGTCCGCATAGTTCACAAAACTCACCAATTTCATTGTAGAGTTTAAGGTAATGTTTTACTTGATGTTGTTACTGCAGTAACCTGCTGTGAACTGTGATGTACAGACGATGGAACCGCATTATATACCTTTTACACCGTCTTAGAAGGCTTCTTGTGACTGAAAATCAAATCATGGTCACGGCGAACCCCTACCACTTAAACGAGAGCTCTACATCAGTAAAAAATCTTCTACATCACAGCTCTTGATATATCCATTCAACTGTGACCTGGATTGAGGTACACATATCTTTGTGTGCTGAGATCATGATATTTTTGTTTGGTGGCTATCGGACTCCTTCGAGAGTTGATGGTGAACAGGCTATGTTTTATTTTTTTAATTTTTATGTCGCAAACGTAATGAGGATGTACAGATAATTGCAATTGCGATGATATATGATTTTTTTATAAAAATAATAATTTAATGTCTTGTTTCGAGGTGTTCACTTCATTTCCTGGTTGAACCTGGTTGAAAGTTAAGCCTTCATTACAAGGCTGTAGGAAAACTTTGATTATCTGTATGCTTTATTGTTTTTTATGAAGAAAGCTTCGAGAACCTTCTTCGGCTTCTTCGTCATTCTTCGTCTTGATAATCGCACTACGAATGCTGATTGATCCTGTTTGAGATTTTAATAAGCCTTATATTTCAGTGGTCATTACTTCTACGCAAACATAGTGGTATTCACCTTACAAATCCTATAGAATTTTGTACCCTCACAATACCGGCTTAGGAAGCTGGTCTTTCAACCTAGAGCAATAAAAGTGAAATTACGAGACAGTGATTGGGCTGTGTTGGTATTCCCAATGTCCGTGCAATTGGCTCGTCTGATGTCGTTCGCAAAAAAAGAAGAGACTGGGGCTTGAACAAAGTCATCAGATATTTGGCTGTACCTCTGATTTCAACCATATCCCTTTTTTATTCACACACAACCCACTTGGTTTAAAGTGGTTACTGGGGCCCATAGACATCTACAGCGTAAATGCGAAGGGTGGGGCAACCGCTGTACTGTACATATTTACGTTGTAGATTTCTATGGGCCCTGGTAACCACTTAACATCAGGGGGGCCGTGAGCTCGTCCACACATCTGAAGAATAAAAAAACAACATTAATTACACAATATCTTTTTGGATTTCCTTTTTATTTAGCTATTGTTGTTCGTTAAGCGCGGAAGTACCTACGTATGGTGCTTAAAAAAATTGGTACCTAAAACTGGATTCTAAACACTGGCATAATTGTATTTTTTTATACCTTTAATTTGAGTGATGAGTTCGAAATCCGCCCACTTAGAATAAAAATATTAAGTACAGTGTAAAAAACCAAGACAACAAACACCTTTTAGTAGCTGGCCAGAATAAAATAATTAATAAAAAAATAATATTTTTTTTATCCCGATCAGGATGTTGTATCGGGTAATTTAATTGAGTTTATTGCATTGTCATTGGTTCTTGACACGTGTACAAATTGACATTATTGGAGGTGTTGAAGTTAATGAAAATTTTGTTGAAAAATTCCATTATGTAGATAGATAAATACAGATCAAGCGATTAAGAACCTGTTGAGACTAGGCGATTCTAATAATAGACGCGTATAGTGGATCGTAGGCGTAGAGTATCTACTGATCAAATGTTTCGGCTTGGGCTCCGAAGATAAAGTAATTTTCGTGCCATTTCATATAGATGAAAGCCGTTCGATTTGTCCAACTTCTAGCCCTAGAGTTTCTAGAAATTTCTTTCTCTTTTTTTTTGTTTTTTTCTATTGCATATATGGGTGGACGAGCTCGCAGCCCATTTGTTAAGTGGTTACCGGAGCCCGTAGACATCTATAATGTAAATGCCGCCACCTACCTTGAGATATGAGTTCTAAGGTTTCAGTATAGTTAAAACGGCTGCCCCACTCTTCAAACCGAAACGCATTACTGTTTCACGGCTGGAATAGGCAGGGTTTTTCATTACACGATGTTATTCCTTAACCGTGGGATCTGCAATACTTGTTAAGTACGTATTTCATTAGAATAATTGGTACCCGCCTGCGGGATTCGAACACCTTTGCATCGCTACATACGAATGCACCGGACGTCTTATCCTTTAGGCCACGACGTCTTCAACGACCTCTCTTAATTGTCAACCAGTTACAAAACTAGCTTCGTCACTAGTAGCAACATTAAAACATAGATGTCCGTGCCTCGACCAAGTTAAGAAATAGCATTAAAGGGCACTGAAATCCTGAAAAGGATACCAGTGAAACGCATTACACAATTCAATGTTTCTGATATATTTTTTTCTACTGGTGGTAGGACCTCTTGTGAGTCCGCACGGGTAGGTACCACCGCCCCGCCTATTTCTGCCGTGAAGCAGTAATGCGTTTCGGTTTGAAGGGCGGGGCAGCCGTTGTATTGAGACCTTAGAACTTATATCTCAAGGTGTGTGGCGCATTTACGTTGTAGATGTTTATGGGCTCCAGTAACCACTTAACACCAGGTGGGCTGTGAGCTCGTACACACATATAAGCAATAAAAAAAAAACTCAACCTTCATAGTCTTACAGCCTTCGCCAAATAGATAGAATGGTAAACGGTTATCCATCCCATTAGTGACCACGGCAATCGTTGCCCAATCCCGAACACGCATGTCACATGTGTGAAACAATAAAGTTTCGCATACAGTAAAACACGTTAAGAAACAGTAGTTTAATACTTCACTATTATAACGACAATTATGTTGGGCCATTGTTATGTATACACACGGCTATGAATAACGGCGAGCGTGCTGTGTGTTTAATACGCTTTTTTTAGATTTTATAAAGACACAAGGTAATAAAAGAGCGACATCGCCGACAAGATGCAGGAGAGTAGGCTGAGATATAATAGTATGGTCTCTCAAGGTGGGTGGCGGTATTTACGTTGATGATGTCTATGGGCTCCGGTAACCACCTAATACCAGGTGGGCTATGAGCTCGTCTACCCATCGAAGCAATAAACAAAAACACTGTTCTAGTTGAGATTAGAAACTATAATTAAATAATTCAAATGCTTGGAATTGCTGGATTACTTAGAAAAGTAACGTAATTACCACTGACCCTGTGTTATGATCTCATTGAACGAAAGATTGCCTGCCATTGTAGGCTTGGGTCTATCAATAAATCATAAACGTGAATCATCACCGTGATGCACTGTTTATATAAAATTATCAATTATCCATATTAATATTCTTGACGACATTACGCTATGCGCTGTTCGAGGATGTAAAAAAATTGAATTGCGATAATAATGAAGAAAGAAGTGGTAGATTCGTTGCTAGTATATTGTTATTAAAATATTCCAAATTAATTTTTGGTTTTTATTTCTATCTAAGCTGATAGCCTTGAGAGGCTATTTCAGAGTAACCTTAAATAATATGTGAGCTCACGGGGCTTAAATCTGACGACGTTGCTAACACGAGCCCTAGCAAGAGCCGTGCTTCGCAGAATCTACCACCGGATCGGAAACGCGACCCACTGAGAAGATCTGGCGAGAAATTCAGTAGGCTGTTTCTGTGGGTTAATTTACTTAATTTGGAACGATGACCGGTCCAAATAACTAGTTTGTTACATGAATTTTTATTGTATTTGGTGACGTGGTCTTTATTGGTTCTATATCCAGTTTATTTCTGCCGAAAAGCAGTTCCGGATTGTCTTAAGGTGAGTGACACCCTCCACGCTAAGTGTGTGTGAATCTGTTTGTGTGTTCTGTATGTGTGTGAATGAAATTCAAAATAAAAATTTCCTTGCGTCGGAAATAAATAAAAAATTACCCCAACATCGTTCGTCCGAATCGAAAGACGTATTTTTCTAACAAACAGAGAAAAAAAAATCACAGAACGGATTTCAAAATTACATTTTTATGAATCCTAAGTGAACCGTTGTGTAGTTGAAGGGTATTATTATTATTGATAATCTGAATTCACGATTGTAGTAATCTAATGTTTTCTGTACGCTTTTTCCATAATTATATAATTTATAGCGGTCCGCCCCGGCTCCGTTCGGGTCCTTAACAAAAATTTCAACGATATTTGACGTTGTTTTTTTTTAAATAAAATAACACTTATTGCGGGATAACTATAATAGTTAAACATATGCTGTCGCGACACTTTTTGTAAATAATAATGTGTATAGAACACGTAATGTGTATAGAAAAGTCGTAGTACATTATTTTATTCTCTCTTCAATCGTTTTCGTAGGGCACGCGATGTAAAGAATATTTTAAGTAATTTTTTTACACCTTGGGTCACATTATTGGAGTTTTAGTAAGGAACCCTAACTTTTTTAAAAATAATGTAGCGTATGTCATTCGGGGATTGTGTAGCTTCCAAACAGTGAAATAATTTTTCAAATCGGTTCAGTAGTTTCGGAGCCTATTCAATACAAACAAACAAACAAATCTTTCCTAATTATAATATTAGTATAGATTTATTGCACGGAATTGAGTGGACGAGCTCACCGCTCATCGTATGTTAAGTGATTACCGTAGCCAATAGACATCAACAATGTAAATATTGCCACCCATCTTTACTCATGAGGTCTCAGCTTTTACAGTACAACGGCTGCCATATCCTTCAAATCGAAAAGCATTCTTGTTTTAAGGCAGAAATAGGCAGGATGGTAGTATCGCATGAAGTCATTCGTGAGCATTTATTACGTGCCTATTACATCAGAATATTAATATTATTATCTCCAGGATTCGGAAAATATTGTCATGGTATTGACAAAACTGAATATTGTATCTGTATTTTGTATAAACTGTATATGTGTTTGTGTATATAAATATGTACATATATTTACACTTATTTACGGTATGTATGTATTTATAATTAAATTAATATTTCAATGCACCTGCCTTTATTTACTCTACGCTACCTTTGGTTGACTGTAGAGAATATCTCAGACATTAAGTCCGCCATATAAATATTGCATGAAGTGTAATCTATCTATATAAATAAAAATGAATTGCTGTTCGTTAGTCTCGGTAAAACCCGAGTACGGCTGGACCGATATGGCTAATTTTGGTCTTGAATTATTTGTGGA